TAGCACCCTTAAAAAGGCATGAAAACCCTCTTCAAACACCAGAACCCCCCCCCCCCCTCTCTCTCTCTCTCTCTCTCTCTCTCTCTCTCTCTCTCTCTCTCGTGCCCAATTGAGGGACACCCACAGCAGGTCTGCCAACCCAGTGAGCTCAATTTCCATGCCTATTTCTCTTCGAACCAATCAGGGCCAAGGGGATGGGGGACCGTGACCAGGACTGACCTCAGCACTAACGCACAAAGACAAGGACAGAGAATTTGGGTAAAGTGTTGAATATTTCAAAGTGTGTGTGTGTGTGTGTGTGCGCGTGCGTGCGCGTGTACGTTAGCTGAGAGTCTTAAGGTGGGGGTATTGAAGGCCGCGCCTCAAGCCTCTTACCTCCTTGACCCAGACTACCACTTTCACATGACTGGCTCCAGCACTGTTTGGCTGACACATCCTGCGCAGCGGCAGGCTTTTAGTCGCCCTTTAGTGTGTGAAACAAGGTCACACGGGTTGGGCAGGCTCACCGGTCACACTGTAGCATTAATCCCCTTCACATCTCCATTTTCCATTGTTCCTTCGGCGCATCTCACACACACACGTGCACGCACTTTTTCATCCCGCGCGCACTATTTTATTGATCTTCAAAAATGGAGCCAAAGTCAAGCAGCAACGGAACACATCATTTTTCAGGCGGGTCGCACAAAACTACACGACTCATCAAAATCGTATGCACACTTTTGAGTTGTGCTCGTAACACACCCCAGTGGAGATTATGATGGACAACATCTCTGTCGATATGGACTTAACCCACTTCCCCCAAGACCCGGTTTGCAGACCTGCAGATGAAGAGGAAAGAACCCCTGGGCAAGGCAATGAACCCATATCAAATTCAAGGCAAGATCACACTACGTCATATTTGGGCGGCAAAAGTGTGGCGTTAGAAACGCACTAAGTGACAAAGGGTTGTCGGAGTCGTCGTTTGACACCCCTTCTTTTCTTAGTCACAGAAATTGCACGGCTAAATAATGAATGATTGCTGCATCTGCTGAAAATTAGTACAGTGCACCTACGCAAGTGAAAGGTGACGGTGATTATAGGTAGGCATCACTGCGAAAACCACAAGACACATCTGTGACGTGCATAGAAGCAGAGAAGAGCGTGAGCATCAACTCAATATAGAAGAGAACCCCCTCCACACCAAAAAAAAAAAAAAAAAAACAAGGATATACTTGAAGAAATTCACCTTAGTCAGGAGGTGAGAAGGCTTTCCCGCTATGCTTTTCAGAATAAGGGAGGTTTCTTGATCCAGATAGGAGTGCTTGGGGTGAGAAGAATAAAACAGCAATGGAGAGGAAAGGAAAAATCAAGGGGTCAATATCTGGTCATTCTTGGAGGGTTAATAATCATTACACGCTACCTGTACTCACAAATGTTGGGGATATTCGGCTTTGGGTAAAATTTCAGCATGTACCTACACTGGCACTAAAAGCTTTCACCTGAACTTCATTTGACCTTTTCCAAACTTTTGAACGCACGTGTCAACCTATTCAGTGTTTCAGTAGTTTTTGCACAACTCGCTGTTCTCTCACAATTGGTTGATCCATGGGCATGAAACACCCGTTGTGAATTTTGCCGTTCGGCTCCTCAACAGCAAGTTGTATGAAAGTACTGAAACGATGAATGGTTGGACATTCACAAGTTTAGAGGTCATATTAAGTTCAACGGTTCAGGTTATATTACATGTCCGATTCATGCAAGAATTTGACCCTAAAGCGGATTATCCTGAGCTTTCTGTGAGGAGTGTATACTTTACTATGAAGCGTGGACGTCGCAGTCCAGTTCAAAAAATGAAAAGGTGAAGCTTCGAGTTAAAAGCTGCAGCAAAGGAGCACTGAATGTTAAGAGCACAAAAGAAGTACTGTACTGCGTTTAACAAATTTATTCCAGCATCCAGCATCAGGATTTGTCGATCATTTTGAGATACAGAGGACCCGAAATATTCCTGCCAGCTAAAAGCAAAATTCCTTGAATAATTGATGGCCATCCAATTACATTGAAAAAAATTAATCCCTTAAAAAAAATTGCGAATAGCTGAACATTAACACACATTTTTCTGTTCAGCAATGCAAGTAAACAACGATATTTGAGATGTTAAGAAATAGTGTTTTCCATTTTTTGCGCAACGGTCAATTTTCACATTCATGGCTACCTCTTTTAGGATTAAAAGTACAATTTTGGTTAAAATGCTTCATTAGCTTAACAATGAAGTAATTAGCAATGGTGTTCATATCGGACAGCTGTGTGTGGCATAAACCTGACATTTGGTGATGGTGTAGTAAATTTGTTCAGCACTGTATTTGTATAAAAGCCTCATCAGACACACCGCGAGATGAGGTGCTGAAAAGTCGAACAAGATCCCATCCAAAAAGCTGCAGAAAATATGTTGTCTTTACGAAGAAAGTTTTGGAGTGTCACTGTCATCATTCATTTTGAACACTTTCTTCTAGTTGTACTTTGAAGTGACACTTCATCATACTGCAGCTGTTTCGAATATTTTGGGTCACTCTGAAATGCCTGTCGGTATGATGTATGTGCAGTTCTACACCACAACCATATGAAAAACACAGATAGTACATCTCCGACAGTGTAAATCAAAACTGAGCATTATCATTGTCAAGACAGATTATTGGGAACACATCTCTTGTCACGGATGATGGATCGCATTCGATTATGCAGCTGTACCTAATAATGTGGCCGTGCCTGAATTCTCAGGTTCAAGTAACAACATCAGGCAGTCGTGTAGAACCGAGTTAGCATGCATGCGCACAGTCACACCCACACAGACAAACATGCACTTACGGTGGCCCGATCCACTTCACCCTGTTGTGAGGTGAAGTCAAGGTGCCGCCGAGCCGTTTTACCGTTGGCCCACCGCAGTGTGACATGCTGGAAATGTGCATGTGTGCAGATGAAGATAGAAGAAATGATGCAAACATAAAAGATGAACACATGCAAGGTCGGCACGGAGGTCACAGTGCGTGCCAAACTTCACGGAATGAACAGAAACATTTGCCGTTTCTCACGTTCGCATGAACCTTACCCTCGACGATTGTTAAAAATGTACAAGAGAGTGAAAGGAGTCATTCAGGAGCAGTCACGTTTCGAAGATTACAACGCCCTTATTAGCAAACTCCCCAAAGCAAAAACAATAAGTGTGCTGTATTTGCAAACACATGCAGCGTCTCACATGCTTTGTGGTTCGACGTGCACAAAAACAACCAGATTGAGGGAAACCGGTCGGCGCTTTGGAAATGACCGCCTTTCATGCCAAATCAGATTGTGACTGTTAAGTGCACACAGAAGCCGACACACATTGTGAGCTAGCTTTTCATGTCATACCTCGGTGCTGGTTTGGTTTTGTCTCTGTACAGTCGGGCTGCTCCTCTCATCCACCTCTCCACCAGTCATCCCTTTATCAATGTCAAGGGAGTCCATACTGGAGGCCGATGCACACGCGGAGTTTACGCTCGACCGCTGGGATGGAGCCTCCTGTTCGCTGACCGCGCCCACTGAGCCCGTCCGTCGATGTTGCTGGCCGCCCCCAGACGAGCCAGACGAGGGACGTCTTAACGTGGTGGACGAGAAGGAGGATGAGGATGAAGAGGACGACGAGGACGTCTGACGGGCGGCTTCGTCCATGCTGAGAGAGGCCTTTTCCAGCTGAGAGGTGATGTCATCCAGGGAAATGTTGGAAGCCACAGGGCGTGCGGTGACACTGCCGCCTCGCACCGTGTTGGCCGGAGATGCCCGAGTGCTGCTACTGGCACTTCCTGCTTGAGGATTGTGCATTTAAACACCACATGCCCTGCATTAATGCATTTCTTTACAAAGACCGACAAACATAGACAATATGGATTAAAAGACTTGGGACAGAGCTTTTTTTTCTGGGGCGGGGGGGTCATATGGTCTTTAACTTTCAGTTGTCCCAAAATGTTTGCTCATATAGTGTATACAGTATTTGAAAACAGTGTCCATGTTACAGGGGTATTGAATTGTATTATAACAACCCTGACTCCCAATACTTGTACCTCCACTGCTTCCCCCTCCACTGGTGCCTGGCTGCTTGGTGCTGGCAATGCGCCCCCCTGGCGTGCGCTTGCTCTGACTCCGAGAGTTTGGTTTGGAAATGGTACTAAGCTCCTGTTCAATGGTACACAAGTCAGCCATCAGAGCATCCAAGTCTACAGTGTCGCCCTGGTTCAGTGCCTCTGCATGAAGACGAGTTAGGAGGCATTAGTGTATTTCTCTTTTGGGCGGAGGATCAACCGTATGAAGCAAACTGAGCCACGGATGACATGAAACTTGGGCTCACCATTTATGTTATACATTGAAAACCGGTAGGAGAAATTGGCAATGTTTGTCTCTTGCCGGAGAGGAGGCTTCTGCAGCGCCTTCTGGGGCCTGCCGTCATCCATACTCTATGAAGACAATACAAACAATTATGGTGTTTGGTGAAAATAAAAAAACAAACAAAATTCCATGGTGTCCATCTGCTTTGTCATCGCAAACAAGATTGCTGGCATATATAACACAGTGGAGGTGGTCAAATAAAAAGCGAGTTGCTAGGATACAGAGTGTGGCAACAGGAATAGCAGTGTTCAAGTTGCTATGGTTACAGTCCCATCCTTAGGCGTGTGTGTTAATCTGTGCGTTAACCTGTGTGAGCTTGTCCAACTCCCCCAGCCAGGCTCCAAACATTTTGTCCAGGTCTTGGTCCTCCTTATCACTGTCCTCCTCGGCTCCATGATCCAACTCGTCATCTGATACCTGCTCCATCTAGCAGACGCACATCCAAAAGGCACAGCAAAGTAGTTACCGGTATTTGAATGCACATCCAAATGTGGAAATGGAAAACACACACACACACACACACACACACACACACACACACGAAAACGTGAGCTCAGCTCAACTTTCACGACAACCGCTCATGGGTAGCTGTTGTGTCTTAAAGTATAACCTAATGAGCAGGAATGTCGCTTGGGTGAAAGTTCGTGTGGGAAGCATTCGTATCATTGTTAATGGTCGATCATCGACAAACCACAAGAATCACATGACGCCGCATTACCATGGAAACAATACCATGCAAAGCAGTCTGGCACTCTGTAGCAGTTGTCGAGGCAGGCAAAGCCAACAGCTGCCTCGCGCTTTCAAAAGGTGATGACAGAGCGCCCTCTTGTGGACTCAGAGGGAAATAGTGAAACTGCAGCTGTGTGCCCCTTCACCCAATTCGAGATGTTCAATCATTTTATTTATGAATTAAGTTCGTTTTCAATCAGCAATAGCAGATGACGCGACATGATGCGTCAGAAATTCATCTATTACTATGTTACAATGAATATAAAGATTACAAACCCAACACAAAAGCGGTTTGATACACACTTCTGAAATAACATTTGTGGAGACACTGATCGTGTTCAGGATTCCTATCAACAATAATTTGACAACAATGTTGGTGGCCCATGCATAAGGCCATAAAACCGCACACAAAACTACAAAAGCGCGTCTGACACAGTACTGAGAGCTCACAGCCTTCACCCCCCTTTATTTAGACAGCATGATGCTATCCACCCAGTTGAATGGACTGACATGCCAGCCTGCACTGAACAATGTGGTTTAAACTAGTGACTCACAAGAGGGAGACAGAGGCGGTGACAAGTCTGGGACTGTTTAAAAACATTTGTCCCACGTTGGAAAATAATTAACTACGTACAAGAAAATCGGCAAAATGTTACCAATTGCTCTCATTGCGCTTTTGTCTTGACCAAACAAACCCTCCTCAACCCTGCCCAGCAAGTAAGGAGTTACTCATTTGGGATGAACCCTTATATACCATATGGTATTTTGATCTCTTATATGAATTAGCTTGGGTTATATGAAGTGACACTACCATGGCTGCAACTGAGTTAGCAGATTCTATAGGGCAAAGTGTGCAAATAACTGCCACGTCACTCCGACCAACAAACCAAGGCAGACAATCATTGAACTGTAGATTGACCAGGTGCTCACCAAACACATCAAATATGTGGACCAAAACAAACCAACCGATCATATAAGTGCGAGTGTATGTGTGTGTAAAAATAGGCCGCTAACTCATGGGCCTTGGGCGTGGGAGGACCAGGAGAGCGAGATGGCTTGAAGCCAACTGTTTGACAATATTCTCTGTGGTGCCTTCTCTCTGTGCAAATACTCACTTTTAACAGCTGTGTTGAAACAGCAATCAGCCTGAAGTTCTTCAAGACATAATTGCTGGCGCACCGCGCGTGCGGGCACCCAACACACCAAGCTCACTTCCCTCAGAGGCTCCGGTACGGCGGCCTTCTGCTTTCTTCGTCTCCACAACTGAGGCAATGATGTGGTCCAAGAAGTTGGGAAGGCTGCTCTTCAGTTTGTCACTCTGAGGAAAGACAATTAGACATGGTTCACAAGCTATGCACTTATTGAACATACTTTAAGCCTTTTTTAAGTACTGTGTTTTTAGGAGTTTCACGCTCAACAATTTCACAATATTGTAATTTTCAGGCTCATAAATTAACCAGTACGTGGCAACCAAACTGGTACTGTTCTGCCGCGCGCGCACACACACACACACACACACACACACACACACACACACACACACACACACACACACACACACACACACACACACACACACTATCCATCCATCCCTGAATATGCTAATTCTTTCCAACTGCAAAGAGTTAAAAAAAGGCTAAAATAAACATTGACACAGAATAAAAGAAAAGATAAAAACAGAACGCAAGTTGCTGTTGTTCGAATGCAATTGTATCCTCAATGGTGTGTGCTAGTGCAGTTTTAAGTGAATTACCACCTGAGCCAGTGCTTTTAAGATTATGTAGTATGACCCAAGGGAGGTTCAGGGACGGGTGGAAAGCGGGCGTGTGTCCTAAGGCATCATTTTAAACCAGACAGCTTTGGCCTTTTATCCGCCGATACCGCAGGGGTCCTGCTCTCTTGTCTGAGCATGACCGGCACTCATCTGTCTCCTGTGACTAAGGCCGGCTCAGAGGTCAGGGGGTGGGGGGAACGTCCGAGGTCGCAAGTCCCTTCGCTGCTGAAGTCGTGGTGCGTTGGATGAGCATCGTTGACAAAGAGGTGCGATGCTCCTTAAACCGCTTTAAAGAACGTACAGGTGCAAGCACATTGATGAAAAAGAGGTAGCGGAGGAGTCTATTTCTATCTTTAGACACTCATCAGAGTGTTGGGCCGTTTGAAAAGCAGAGCGATGTGTCTCGTTTTTCCCTTCAGTCTTTGCAAGAGCACTGACTATAGTTTTTAAGTATGCCAACATTCAGTGCACTGGGAGGACTTAAACGACTTAAATGATCCTAATACTTCTCAGACAATTTTTTTGTACCTAGGGTCGATGAGAGTTTAAAAAACAAAACAAAAATGAGCTTGCTGACTCTGCTCATTTTCAGTCACGACACGGAATAAGTGATGTTGCATGAAGCCAACTTGGGCTTTGGCAAACAGAATGTGACCACTTTCAACTGCAAGCAAGCTTTATTTTCCATAGTTCTTCAAGCATTCATTCTTGCATCGGCCAGTGGGCTGTGGTAGATATTTATGAAAAGAAGATGAAAACAAGAACTAGAATGGCACTGCATATAAAGCAGACCACCGCCACGGCTGAACTGTTAATGAGTGAGGAAAAAAAGCGGAGCATTGCATTCGGGTTTTTTCCCCCCCGTCCTTATTTACCAGGCGACTTTATAGGTCATGAACAGCGATTCTTAATAGTCCATCGGTTCTGGGAGAGGAGTCATGTTATGTGTGTGGTGTTCTTCCAGAGATTTCCTTGCAACATCGACGCCACTTCATAATTTCAACTTTAATATCTTAAACTTACTAATAAATCCTTTCATAACTCAGTCGCTCAGTAAACAGGATAGTTGACAGGCGAATGAACAGTATTAGCTGAGTGCACACTATTGTCGTAAAATACGGCCACGATGACTGAGTTTTAGTCAAGACTATTTCTGGATCTGGTCACATCCTTCAACACGCAGAACAGAGCAGGTCTCAGGTTATTTTTCCCCAACCCCATGACTGCAGACATGGCTAATGCCTGACCAATACTTCAATAATCCCTTTCATGGCCAACAAGCCACGAGAGGAATGCAGCTACGCCAAACAGGCTGACTCATCCTCTGGCCGTCAACATGTGTTGAGCTGCTGACAAGATGTCTGCAAAACACATTTTCCTTGGTGGCCAAGACGAGCCACTTTTTCTTCCTGGCCAATTGCTGGTACCTCACCGATGACTAAAAAGAAAGAGAGAAATTGGCTGATCTCTTCAGAATTACTGGTGGTTGGAAAAAAAATAAATAAAAATGATGATGCTGTTTCTAAACAACACCTTTTTACCTCTTGTCCGAAACTGGGATTTTCCATTCATGCCAAACGCACTATCAAGTCTGGGTATATGAAATTTGATATGGAAATTATCTTCGTACTGTTTTGTACGTATATCTGACTTCAGCCCTCAATTAGCAGATGGAGTTCATTATCATTCATATATTCTTCTTCCAAGGTGTTTCCTTATTCAGTGATACCATTTTATGGATGAAGTTTTGGTCTTTTTTTTTCTACAATACAAAAACCAAAGGCGAAAACTAATGAGAAGTTTGGTTTCCTCGGCTAGGAAACAAAAGAAGATCAGTTCTATTTAAAACAACACACACCAAATGTCACACGTGCCAAAAACAAGGCGCAACTACAATGTAAGGGTGCAACTGATGGTAGATGAGATGGATAACAGAGAGAATGATGGATGTGTTCAATAAGAGAGGGAGCCGCTTCGGATGTGAATAGAGTGGAGGGTGCAATGAGGCCAACAGCTCCAGTGTCATTAGTCAACAGGGAATGAGAAGGTGCACATTTACGGAGTCGCGCGCACTCAAAACAAGTGCACCAAAGCGCAGCATGACACAGTGAATTGCTTGGGATTACACAGCCAATTATAGAGGAGGGGCACAGAAAGAGGAGGGTTGGGCACAGAGAGGGGAGGAAGGTGGAGACAAGGCCGGCAGATGGACAGTGAGTGCAAGGGAGAGTAGAAATGAGATTGGTCAGCAGATGCAGTGAACAATAGCTCCCCAATATCAGACAGAGAGTGAGCAGGAGAACAGTTGTTTCCATGGTGACAGCACTCTGCTCTACAGACACAGCGCCTTGCAAGTCATTGCCAGTCATCACTGCGGCGACATCACGTGATCCATTCCCTTGGTCATATCAGCAAAAGCAGGGTAAATACAGTGTCGCCTTGAGATACGAGTGACTCGAGTGACATTTTTGCTTGACTTGGGAGCACAGACTTGAGATGCAAGCCCTGTATGCTGGCAGTGAACTCAACTCCCTTTACAACAAACAGCAGTTTGGCAGATAGTGAACAATTCTTCCAAAATGAGGCTTCCAAGTGTTTGTTTTAAGTTGACTGTCAAACTAAACAAAACAAAGAGAAATATACTTTCACTATCTAAGCAACAGAGTGAACGCAAATGGTGTGGCAACACCCAGACAAATAATATAACAATGCTCAGTTGTATATTATTTATCCTCTGCATAGAACAACTAAGATTAGTGCCGTACTGATGAGCTGAGAGATTCATTGAGATGTCTCAATGAAAAGTGGAGCCGTATAAACACGTGTTTTGTACTGGCTAAGACGGGAACAGAAGAAGGCACAGAACAATGGCCATTCATTTGATGCAGTATGACAAAACCTGTTTCTTTATTTTATTCAATTATGTTATTATTGTATGTTTTTAACAAGCACGGCATTATGGAGGGCTATTTTTCCTCAAGGAAATACGTGAGACATTTTTTGTTGTCTTTTGGGCAAGAAAGCTGGAACCGCTCAATGGCCTATACATTCATTTAAATGAATGATTATTTGAGATACAAGTGCGGTCACAGAGTGAATTAAATTCCTATCTCAAGGCAACACTGCAGTTAAAAAAAACATCTCAGATGATGAGGCGAAATGCAAGGTAGAGCCACTTTCTGAGCATTCTTTGTTGGGGTTTGGGAAAAAAAGTCGACCACGAAACTAAGCTGGCATAAAATATTTGCACCGAGGCGTCGCCAGCCGTACAACGCATTTCCTGTCTACATAAAACGTCCATTCTACTGTATCCAAACAAGTCGTGACCATTTCACAGTCTTTTAGTACTCTCTGTTGGTGGAAAGTTGATACTGCAGCCAATGATGTCCTGACAGGGGTCACCACAGCGATTCTATGTTTGACACCGTTTTTATGCTGTCAGCCATTCCGAATGCCACCCACCCATTTTCGGAGCAGTAAAGGTTGGGAATTGAAATCTAGTGTAGCCACTAGGATGTGACTGTTCGTCACCGGGATTTGTCCTTCCGATTATTTAATTTGTCGATGAAATAGTTGGTAGTATAATCGATTCAAAGAGATTGAATAGTGACCATCCCAGTCACGTACAGACGGCAGCTGAGTATATGTTGTAATCCTGCTTACAGTTCAGAATAGTAGTGTCACATGCCACGGGTTCAAACAACACTGACAGGGTGATGACGGTGGCATTCTCACCACTTTGGTAAAAAAACAAAACCAAAACCAAAACCCAACATGAATTAAACAGTAAAGTACAATCACTGTAAATGCAATGTTCAAGTGAGCCCACTCCATATTAACCAAATTTAGACAAGCGCCAAGCTAATTCTCAGCTATTATCTGAGCTAGAAAGTCAAAATGGCCTCCGCACCAGAAGCGCTAATGTTTCAGTGTTTTGTCAACTCAAGAAGAGGCTGTATGTCTGCTCCTTGTTTGATAATGATAACAATGTAACACACTTGCTGCAGAAGCAGCACATTCCTCCTTGAGCTCAGCAAACCACACAAACGAATGCATCAAAGCATTCTTCCTGCTGTTTGCTGGATGCTACCTACAGGCCGAGAGATGTGCACTCTAGTGTACTACCCTCGCCCTCACCCCATTTTCCTCATCGCTTGTTTCTGAAGCCCCGCAGCGAGCCAGCGTGTGGCTGGTCCTGAAAGGCAGGATTCAATTCAACAGCGTCCGTTTGCTTGTCGCAATAAACAGACACAAATGTGGCTTTATCTGGTTTTCCTCTCACAATCTGCAAGGGCTATCATCTGCAAAAATTGCAGCAGTGTTCCATGATAAAGCTGCTAAGTTGACTTTTTAGGGTGATAAAAAAGGGGCTCCTGCTTCTCTCTTCCTGGGAAGTGCATCAACTGACGGCAAATTAATCTCTCAACATATGATTGTCCCTTTGAATATACGTAACGAAGCAGGATGAACAAGGTGCAAAGATTGATATGCTGCTCATCCGCGACTGTCATTGCGGAGAATGAAAGCTCGCAAAGCAGTGCTGCCTCTTGCGTCAAGTCTGTCACGGATGGCGCTCACATGGTTTCACTTAAAATGGGAATGATCTCCTGAGGCTTGGCTCCTCTTCCATTTGGCTTTTATTTACAAAACCCTTTGGCTGCAAATAACAAGCAAATGCGCCCGTGCTTGAATGCGCAATGATAAATACCTGCTGTATTTGAAGATACCAGCTTCGATGCAACTTCTGTGGCAGTTTTTGATCACAGCAACTTATGCATTAGTCTTAAATGGGGTGACTGACAGATCTGCTCTTTAGAATTTTGTGCCACCAGCAAGCAGCCATCAGTCACGCCAGTGCACAGCAACTCTTACCTCTCAAATGGCTTGGCCCTCTCCCTACTGAGGTTACAGGTCAGTCGAAACCACCACTCCACTCTGACGGGGCCTTTAAACCGCTGAAAAAGAGCCAAACGGACAAGAAAAGGCATCAGTCGGGGAAATTCCAAAACGTAAGGATCAGCTGCTGCAGCAGAGGAACGGCGTAAGCTGGCAGCTACAGGAGAGCAGACTGATCCTTCTGTTACAAGAATGCAGCAGATTAACCGCAGAAGGAACTGACACACAGGCTGAGCGAAGCAGGAATTGTTATACGCTATACTTGAGCATGGAAGCCTTCAGTTCACTGCAGCGCCTTTCATAGAACACAATCTGACCATGTGAATTCATAAACACATATTTGCCTCCAAGTGTTTGGCTTTCGCCCAGCCACAAACGCAATTTTAGGTGACTGAAAAGCGAAGGGGGAGACGTCAGCTGCTGAGAAGTATCAGAAAGCAGTTCCCAGTGGCCTCAGCTGTTCCTTCGTTTTTCTGTGCAACAACTGTTATTCGCACCCCAGTGTGCGGCCTTGCACAAGAAGAAACACTGACTGCGTATTTCCATGGCAAACACACACCAGGCGCAGAGTTGGCCTGCGTGTTTGTTAGCAGACACGTCACCAATACTCCGGCTCACGCCCCACCCCCTTCCAGCTGCCTGGTGCAAACTGTGCCCAGTCAACGTGAAATAACACTCCATGAGCGTGGGGGCAGCAAGCAGGTGTGGCAATGAATGACACATGGACCAGTGCAGCTGCAGGGAAACACAGTTGCTGAAGCCACAACAGCGTCAGGGTCGGCGGGCAGCTGCTCACCGGCACAAGACAAAGAGACCATGTCATAAAAAGAAACCGAGAAGCAGAAAAAAAAAAAAAAAGAAAGATACTTTTGAAAGATTCAAACCAACGCACACTTTCATGTGTTTTTGGGTTCATGTATTCTTTGCACTAAAAAACATTCAGTGAGAGCCCCACGTACTATAAAACATCTGCCGCTTCGAGCCAGAAGCAACAGAAAGTGCACAGGCGAGCCTTTTCAGAGCTAGAGGAGCCCTTGTGAGGGGGTGGGGGGGTGTAAATAAAAACAACAGCACGCGGCCACCCTGAAAAGTGTCCTGCATACAGAAAACAAGGGGAAACACTGTAGTGGTGAGTACAGGTGTGTCCTTGTTCGCCCACGCGTCACAACCATTCACCGCGCTCCTCGGAGGTAGCTCATTTCCTGTTAGGGCGCAGGAAGTCGAAAAGAGGGAAGGACGGCGGCCCAGCAAAGGTTATGATGATGTCATAGGGAAAGAGAAAGACGGGACTGTTGTCGGAAAGCGCAGGAAACGACCACACCGGCTCGAATGCACTGAGTAACACCGAGAACGACTTCCTTTGCGGAGAAATGAGCGTTGGCATCAACCACGACTGCGGTTTCCCCGATCACGACCGTTCTCTACAGTCGGCTGATGGATGGGCCAGAACTGGGTTGAGAAGGTGCATTAGTATTGGTCAGCGCATTGCTTTTAGTACGGATGACGACCCAAACAAGTCTCGGCTCTTTCTTGGCCAACTGCCTGCCCAACATTGAACACCTAAAAACAGGTTTGAGTGCAGCTAAGGAGAACAAGTAATATCATATTACTCCTGGTCAACGACACAGTTGGACTTCGAGGCCAATTATTCAGACAAGCAACAAAACAGACAAGTTGGCTGTAGTGCAAATCACGAGGCCAGCTTGAATCGTAAAGGAGGCCACGTCTGGTTGCCATTACAAGGAGGCTGATCTCCCAGCCTCAGCGGGATTCTCCATGCTTCGTGCGGAGAGTGCTCCGCGGGGAAGAGAACACACATGGTGAGAATTATGGAATAATGCTGCGTCAGGAATGTTCCCACGGTGGCCCGTGGGGTCTGACGAGGCTTCCTATTGGCTGGCGAGCTGCCAGTGGGGTTTATGAATAAAATAACACGCACATACAAAGTTATGTGATACAATGCCTCTTGCTTTGGCCTGCATATTGACCTGCGGGTGGGTCCGAAACATCGGCCTCACACAAACTTGAATCATCTGTGCATCATCACCGTAGAGGAGTAACCCACTAAACCATATGACCTCAAACACGTCATTTGAAGCCTGTCACGGTGGGTGCTCGTTCGTTTGCCTGTGTGAACCACAAAGCGAGAGAAAAAGAGGAAGAGAGGGAGAACATCAGAGCAGAAAGAGATTAGCAAGATACCCAATTCAAGAGTTTGCTGCCAAAGTATTAGTCAATGACATCCACACACTGATATTTCCTCGGATTACGCCTGCAGGTTTGAGTGATTATCAAGGGACTTTTCTTTTGCACCAAAATGTGGCGTCAGTCTGCTGCAGCTGCTTCTCCTTTAGATTGTGGGTCACTGCTATTCTCGCCAGAGTCCTCCAGTGTCCCTGGTGTAATCAAGACTGAAGAGCAGTGGGCCTGCTTGCCTCCATAAAGTAAATTATGTGAATGACTTTTGCAAGCTGCCAGGCAAAGCCACGACTGACCTAGGTGTCCTAAATCGATTTATACTTTTCACCCCGTAGCTTCCAGATGCTTTGAGGGCAGGCTGCCATGCCCATCCTCTGCCGCCCGCCATCATAACAACGCTCTCTCTCAAACATTAGCTGGTTTGATTGCAGGCAAGAGATCTAACGGGGCAAAAGTAGGCTTCAGTGCATATTTTATGAGAAAACAAGCCACTATAAAGCAGATAAGTCATGAATCTTCATGCAGAAAATCCATCCGATCTATTTTCTATAAACAGGTGCTTTACTCCAATAGACCCCAAAACACTGAAAGCAAATAACAGAACACAGATTATGAAAGCGGGGATTCATCGGCACTGAACACCTTTCGCTGTTCGTTGATTTATTTTCGGTTTTACGTAAAGTGGCTGTAGCGTAACAATCGCAGCCATTTTCCAAAACAACAACTTTGTAAATGATGTAGCAAAATCCCAAAAAAGGCTAGATATACTTGTGGCTACATACATAGCTTGAAGTACTGTACGTTCGTCATCCACTCGGGAAAGTCACTAAGCAAACACTGTTGAACTCTGGTCACACCAGCAATGTTTATTCTTCTGGCATAACAAACTGCAGCGCGCAGGCCATTTCATTAAGGCAATCGGATGATGAAGAAATAAATCCTCCTCCTCTTCCCATGTCTTCTGATGTGATACATCACCCGCTGTCTCCTTGCACCATGCCTTTCTCCTCTCCTCTGAAGTAGCCCAATAAGCCTCAGGCACTCCATACGCTCTCCACATCACCGAGCCACACGGACGCACACACACAAACCCGTTGTGTGTTTGTTGTGGGCGCTACAGCAGGACCGTGTGAGCATGATTAAGAAACGACCTCAATGAATCACCTTCTCCAAGACATCGTTGAAATCTGATGCGGGTGATGAAATGTTCTCGACACCCCCCCCCTTTTTTTCTTTCCCCCGCCCCCCCCCCCCCCCCCGCACCCCCCCAACTCGGATGTCAAGACCCCTTTTGCTTTCTCGACTTTATGGCAGTCACAAACATCTCTCAGCTGTGTGACAATACGACGACAGGAGCTACACTTCCTGTGACACGCATCATTGGGTTGAATGAGTGACTGACCTTAGATATCACTGGAGCGGGGCGCGGGAAAGGGGATTGTGGCGAAGGGCAGCAGCCCCGCAGTAAGAAAAAAGCCACCTGTTATTGTCACGTTCACACGGATAAATAACTTAGCAAGCTTAACTTAAATGGTGTGGTGAAAAATGACACTCGTTGCGCTGGAAGAATTGTCGAAGCAAACACACAAAACACTTGATCTTACTCTTCGTCTGAGACTACAACCGATAAGGTGAAGTCCACACAAACACTGTTTTTTTTTTATGAAGCATTACGTTTGACGACGCAACACCCCTGCTTCTCCAACAAGAGGTTGGGGTTTAAATATCCATGGAACATTTGTGTGGACTGGAGTATGCATGACCTCACCGTGCGAGTGTGTATTTTGTCCTACTTCCTCTCACATGCCAAAAGCCTCCCTTCTTCGCTTAACATGAGATGTGAATGTGAGTGTGAATGGTTGTCTACATGCCGTGTGACTGACTGGCAAGCGGCCCAGGGTGCACCCCATACCTGGGCAAATTACGGCCCGCGGGCCGGATCCGGCCCGTTGGTCTTTTTAATCCGGCCCGCCGAAGGTTGGTGCAGTACACAATTAAGGTCCGATGTAAATTATTGCATTCATTTCATTCGTACTTGTAATGAGAGGCATTTCAACGCCAGGCGGCGCAGTTACTTGAAGTTGCAGAGCACAGGGAGGGAGGGAGGGGGAGACGATACAGAAGCCCGCGGTATCGCTAACTCAAGTAACTCCGACTCAAGGAACTCCGCTCGATACGAGGGAATAAGTGTGTCCGCGCCGCTATTTTCAATCATTGGATCCAAAACGGCGACACGCAAGTGACTCTTTATAGCAGTGAGTTTTACTGGAATTGCGAACATTTTTACGTCATGTAGATCATGGCATCCAAACGAAGAGGAACAGTCATGGCCACGGAAGAGAAAGTGAAGTGTATCTGATCAGACGAAGCGGGTTACAAAGTACGAAACATTCAGGAGACGCTTGGAGTCTGAGAGGCTCAAATCTACGAGACTTTGAAAACCGAGGAAGCGATTCTTGCTCAGTCCAATTCCGGGTGTTTCCATGCTCAGAATGAATTGCATGCGGCTCGACGGACAGTCGAGTAAATAAACGTTTCCTGGAATGGTTTGACCGTTCACGCGCTAAAAACTTTCCGCCAACTGAACCGCGAATAAGAGCAATCGAGTTACATCGCGCTATGGGCATCGAAGACTTGGAAGCGTCCTGTGGCTGGGTTCAAAAGTTTGTCGCACGACATCAGCTGAGCAACGCTGTCTTGGTTGGCGATCGAGGGGAGGTCAAGTTCGAGACAGTGAGTGAGTGAGTGGAAAGAAAGCCGCCAGGTCTTATACTCGTCTCATTTTGCAGCAGATAGTCCCAACTTTGTTGTATTTTGTCATATACCTGTACTTTATGCTGCAGTTTTTGGGCAATGTAGT